CACTGGCTTGGAAGTCAAGTGGAGATACAAGAGAATGTCTTAAAATTGGGGTCTGAAATCAGACAGATTCACTCAATCTTGCTTCAAACACCTTAGACAACAAACGTATCAAGTCAGACTCTCTGTTCTCTCTTCAGCAAAACTGAGATGACATTAATACCTACCTCAAAATAGAGTGTGGCATAAATTAAATTAAATTTGCTAATGCACGTGAACCCAATCAGCACAATGCCAAGAACATAACAAGTGTTCAATAAATGAGGTTGGCATTCTTTATGTTCTTGTTGTTTTTATTCTTCCTGTTGTTACAATTTGACAGAGAAATCCATCTAAAGGTGGGGAACACATTTATTCTCTCTGAAATGAAGTTCATTCATTTGCAAAATGGAGATAAAAATTCTTCCCTCTACAGTTTGGTTCAGTGCTCTGTCACACCTAGAAGACTATACAAACATAATAATTTTTCCATTTATTGTTACTGTTTACTTTTAGTAGTAGTAATAGTGGTGCTATACAGTGACCCCTGGAAAGACATCAATAACCATTCCTTCCTTGTATAGCAGCCCCTGGACCTTTCTATCTCCTTAAGTGATTTTCTAGAAGTAAATCTGAGCAAGAGTTTATTATATTCTCAAGGCTCATTTTTGCAAGTACCAGAATAGCATTGTGTTGCCTAGACACTTAAAACATAGTCTGAGATTTGGAAATGGCATGAATGTTATGAATTTCAAACAAAAAAAATCATATCTGAGGTTAATATGGTGTCTTTCCATCAGAAAAACAGAAGGAGTATATACTGGAAACCAAGTTGTATTCACCAGCTGGTTCCTCTCCTATCTTCTGCATTAATTATGGAAAACTTTTCTCTTTTTTTCTATTAATTCTTTCTTCCTTCCTCCTTCTTTCTGTCTTTGCTTTCTTCCTCCTTTCTTTGCTTCCTTCCCTCTCTCCATCCCTCCTTCCTTCCAAAGTACTTATTGAAAGACTTCTAGGAGCCAGACACTTCCAGGCATAAGGATGCAAAATCAACAGATGAGACAAGCCCTGTTCTTTCCTGGACCATACGCTCTATCTTGGGAACTGACTTAAAAATTATATAAAGAAATCAGTAAACAAGATAATTACTGATTTTGTTAAGCTCAAAGGAGAGAAAATAAACAGAACAAATGGCATATCTGTCTGTGGTCTTAAACCGATAACCAAAACAAGAGAAGGAGCTTTCCCCAATATGTTATAGCAACAGAAAATAGTTCCATAAAGTGGGAATGTAACAAGCAGGAGACAGCAGAGCTTATGCCTTCCAAAGTCCAGAGTTCTGTTCTTAGCATTCTTGGGAGGAAAAAAGAAATACATAAATGATTTATCTATCTCTCATGGTCTGGATTCTTTTCCTTATTGAAAATATTCTAGCATCAAGGATGGGCTGACAGTGGTGAATGGGTAATCTTTTTTATAAAGATCATGAACATGATCACATTATGTAGCCTGTTGAGGAAATGTTCGTTGGTACAGTTTTGATCATTCTAGCTACAGATCTGGTCCTGGCTGCTATGATCAGAATCCTGGTATAAAAAGGAACTGGAGGATGACTCCTTATAAGTATAATGTCCACTGGTATTCGGCCAGCAATTTCTGACCCAGGTATGCTGAGTTACCTCCTGAAATCATGGACAGAGAGTCACCTTGTTAGACACTCTCAGAGGCATACGGTCGTACGTAATGAATCTGCTCATCCCTGGTATTGTCTTTATATTGCTAGAATTTGAATTCCTGGATCAAAACTAGTTGACATTCTCAATGTTTTGATACGTAGCATGCATTTTTAAAATCAATGTACCTATGATTACTCATACTATCAGTTAATTCACCAAGCACTTGCTAATCCTGCATATGATAGTTTTGAACATCACATTTGCTGATTTGATGGGGTAAGAAGTTGTTTTCTCTTTTGCATTGATACACATGTCGTGAAAGCCACAGAAGCCACTATTGGATTTCCCTGCCAAGGAGTGTAGTTAGCTGAGATGCTACAGCTGAAGTGCCTTCAAGATTAGTCTCAGGATTCAAGCCAGACTCTGGTCTCCCCAGGACATCATGGCCAGTGACTGAGCATGGTGGGTTTGTGAAAGCCTGATCATTTATGTGCAACATGAGACTACTTTAGGGTAATCTTTGTTCTGGGGATCCCATGGGTTTGTCCAAGACGTTGTCAGATCTGCATTGCCTTATCCTACTTTCTCTCCTCTTTCCTAGCATGGGTATCATATCTGCACCTAATCTGAAGGACTTCCCTGCCCAAGCCCACTTCCTGCCTCTTTTATCTTTCATATTCATAAACCAGTAAGTCACTTGTACTCCTAAATCTGTCTCAGCGTCTACTTCCCAAAGGACCCAACTGATACACATCTTTGGTCACTAGACAGAGTAGTTAGTTTCCATATGCTTGTAGAATTAAAAATTCAAATATTCAATGTTCTTTATACATTTTTCTATATTTTTCTAATACAAAAATTTTAAACAATGTTCTCGAGCTGTTTCTACACAGCTTTTATAGCCTCCTCTAAAACACACATACACACTCATATAAGACTCAAAAATTGTTTGAAAAAGAGAGAGAAGTCCTCAGAGATAGAGTCAAATTTAGATTCTGTGGAAACAACGAACACTTTCTGCTTTCATTCGAACACACTCAAGTGTAATTATGCGGGCATGTACACAAAAATGTTTATACTTCACTCATACATATTTATGTTTCAGCTAAAGAACTTAGGCTGACTCTTTATTGGTTATTGAATTTAGCTTCCATTTCCATTTGCATTGTGTCTACTTTAGTTAAAAACCTCAACTTCATTCACCCAACATTTATTAAGCAACAACTATGTGAATTCTTCAAGTATCATTTCTCCCCATTACTTTATCCACAATAGTGCCTGAATCAATGTTGTAAAATATAAAAGCAGACAATTTTATATCTGTCAACTTGGAAATAATAAAACTAAAATGGATGTGTGCTGAGCTAGATACTCATGCTGGGTAGAAAAGTAAATATTAAATATTGCTGAAAATATTTAATAAGCGAATGGCAATACATATCAAGGAGACTTAAAACTGCCCAAATCTTATAACTCAGAAGGGGGCTTTTATTATCTATATCTCATAGTAATTTATTCCTACAATACAAATTATTTAAATGGTATTGCCATGCTTTCTTTATTTATGTTGAAAAAAAAAATCTGCTTTCCAAAATGGATTGTGAGATACTTGCAAGCTAAGACTACCCATTGTGATTTTTTTTTCCTCCCTATATTTAATTCAGAGCCTGGCACATAGTGAATGCTCAATGGATATATGCCAGATTAATATCTATATTGCACTGGGAATACAAACCAAAAAACCCAAGTGAACAAGGAGCAAGGAGCCAAGAAGCAGAGGAGAACCCCATTCAACCTCACATAGGCTGTTGACACATGTCTGTCTTAAAGAATCCCCTGTACCATAACTATTGGATATGAAAAGTGAAGTTCAGAGAATTCTGACAGCAGCTTTGAAATTAAGAACCTGGGTGTGAGTCTCAACTCTCCTCCCAACTCTGCCACTATATCTTTGGCCAAGGAATAGGATATCTCCAGATTATTTTCCCCCTTAAAGCCCAGAGCTCACCACCTGCTCTGCCCTTCCCCAGGGTCGTCAAGGTGCACAAATGAGATACAGTTTAAGACAATCTTCTTTCTTGGCTGAGGAAGGATATATAACTATACCCATAATTAATGCATTTTATAAGAGTTCTTTCCTGTTTCAAAAATCTAAATTCAATTTTAAGGCATGACCTATTTATATATAAATGTATTTTTTTCTCACTATTAAATGCATGAGGGTTTTACTCTTTGAATTAAAGAAAAGCAAAGAAAGGCCTTAAATTTTTAATTTAGTTAATAATTGACTTCATGGTAAGTCATGGAAATTTATTTCAATAGTGCTGAACACTCATGAATCAAAGAAATAATAATATATGTATATGTGCCCATATATTGAATTTTTCTCTTTGGAAATTTGTAGACAAAACTACCAGATATGTAAGAAAAATACATAAAAAAGAAATTGGTTTTAGTATTAATTGTTCTTAATAATAATGTTTAAAATTAATAACATTATTTTTAATGATAATTTTTAAATGAGCTACAACAAAACTCCATAGGATTTACAACAGTCTGACAAAATAGATTTATTCTCTTAATATATTGTTAAATAAAAAAATTAAAAATATTCATCTTCATTTACAGAAACTTACTCTTATAAAATTAATGTCCAAATAAGTAAAAGAAAAAGGTGTTTTTGTTTGTTCGCTTTCTAGATAATTTATTTCATGGTTTATAAAATAATCTGTACCAGGAGATCACAGGGTATTGGTCAGGTTTAATATTGGTCATAACAATACCTTCATAAGAGCTTTAATAAGTAGATATCAGTATTGTGTTTTCCAATGAGAAATCTGGTAGCAATGTAATAATATCTAACATGCATTGAATGATTACCATGCACTGCATGTTTGATATTTATTAATATTTATTTCTTCATCTGATTTTCATCATAACATCACAAGGTAAGTCCCATACCCATTTTATAGATGTGCAAATGGAAACTTGGAAATATATATAAATGTCACTTGTTAAGCATTGCATAGTCAATAAGTAATTGAATTTATGCTTAAACCTGATATTTAAGCCTGTCATATATAAGCACATTTTCCCCTTTATTCCAGGATGAAAAATGATGTTAAGCCATCTGTTAAATAGATGATCTTCTTCAAAGGCTGTACAATTTGTTTTAATCTGTATCAAAATGATCGTCTAGCTTACCATGTACCTCACATTGCACATTCAAACGTTATTGCTATAGACAGTGAAATACTTAACCCTGACATTTCATAATCCAAGTCCCAAGAAAAGTGTTTCCCTGAAGCAAAAACATGGTAAATAGAATTCAAAATGTAGGCCACATACCTGTTTCGGGCTCAATGGAAAAATAAGGCTGTCCTTCCAAGATACTGTAAACCAACTTTGCACTGTTTCCATAAACTGGATCATCAGCATCTGTGGCTGTTACATTAGTGACAGATGTACCTAATAAAAAAAGAGAAAAGAAGATAATAATTAATGCATTATTCTTTGATAAAAGCTAAATTTTGCCAAGCATATCATACAGAAATCTGTGTGTAGAGGGGAACAAGAGGGAAAGAAATCTCTTTAAAAATATGGAGATAGACTGCTGTGTCATAACTTCAACTACAATCAAGTCTTTTAAAAGAAAGAGTATCGCTAGGTTGGAGTACTATATTAGATGGCCCCTTTAGTGCCTGTATTGTTTAAGATTTCTTTGTACCTTTCATTTTAAAGATATCTATTAGATTCATGTGGGCTTGGAGAATATGCAAAGGAATTGTATCAAAGCAATATGAATCATGAGGTTAATAATATAATATAGCATGTAGCATTTAAGTCTTGCAAAAGCACAACTGAATGTACCTGGAAAAACCAGCTGCTAAAATTAAATGCTGTACAGAAATATCAAAAGAATATTTTATTGCAATCTTATTTAATTCTTCAGA